TGGTTGTGGGCGCTGGCAGGACCCAACCAAACACAGGCAATTGGTATCAGAAGTGTGGCACATAGGCAGGACTTGAAGCAACCAGCCAAGGATTCACTTAGATGCTCAGGCAACTTCCTCTGCCTCCTTCTGGCCCAAGGAGAGCATCTGAGCCACAGATCAGGGGAAGCCCACCCCTGCCAGCCAGGAGCTTTTTGGGTGGAGCCTTGGGGAGCTAGAGCTTTGCTGGGTCCTTCCTCTCCAAGTCCTAGTGACCTGCCATGTGGCAGCTGCAGTCTGAACTTGCCCTGGGGACCTTGGCATCAAACCTGCATGCCCTTACTAGAGCTCCCCTTCTGAGCAGTGCATTTCTGACCGGGCCTAGGACGGTGGGGGGATGGAACAAGCTGTGAGGAGGACTGAGTTTTCCTTAGAGAGTGCCGCAGAGCACTCAGCTCCCTTGGGGAATAAGCTGGACCATTCCCATTCCCAGGGTAGGGTGGGGGAAGGTGATGTACCTTTAATGCAGCTGAGTGTGGCCTGGGCTCTTGTACCAGCCAGACCCCAGCCTCTGCAAGGTGGGGAAAGGAGCCTCTCTGGGTGGGTAACTCCAATCCTGGCTCTGGAAGCAATAATGGCAGAGACCCTAATGAAGAAGATCAGCACTTGGTTCATTGCTCTCCAAACAGGATTCCCAGCCTCTCAAACTGATGTGATCTCCTGGGTGGAGCGAGAGGGGGAGTTGCAGGTCCCATATCCCCAAAGCTGTGAGGAAGGAGAGAGCATCAGCAACACCCAGACAGGTGAGCAATCAGTTAAACTGACTCAGAAACCAATTTCTGTTTCCTTATAGCAGGTGTAACTTGTATTTTCATGAAGTCTAACTGACTCGTCAGCCTGTCTTCAACTTCAGTCAGTGTGCTGGGTGGGGGAAGGCTGGGTTCTCTTTTCTGTGGAAGGGTTGTGAAGGAGGATGACAAACTCAGCTTATGATAATTTAACCATTATTTGAGTGTGTCCCTTTTTCTATTCCTCTTTCAGTTCAACGCTAACCCGTCTGTATTATTTCTCTATCCCAACAGGTGATGGCATGCTGACTGAGAAGCATGAGAAGAGTCTTCTGCAGGAAGAACGGGAGGAAGTGGATCCATGTGAGATGTTATTGGGAAGATCTGAAGGGCATGTTTTCCAGCTACGTGAAGGAGAGAGCTGTGAGAGTCAGCATACCCTAGAAAAGCAGCAGGGAAACCATCCGGGAGTGGGACAGGGTAACTCCAGTCACAGGAGCAGAAGGGAGAAAAGAAACACAGAAACTGTTCAACAGGAAATCCCCCATCAACTGTCACCCTGCACTTGTAGGGATTGTGAAACTCTTGTTGAACATCAAAGAGCCCACACAGGAGAGAAGCCCTTCAAGTGCTCTGACTCTGGGAAAAGCTTCAGTGAGCACTCACACTTTACGAACCATCTAAAAATACAACCCAGAGAGACACCTCATAAGTGCTCTGATTGTGGGAAAAGCTTCAGTAGCAGCTCACACCTTGTTACTCATAGGAGGAGCCACACAGGGGAGAAACCCTTCAGCTGCTCCGACTGTGGGAAAAGATTCAGTAGAAGCTCAGACCTTGTTACCCATAGGAGGACCCACACAGGAGAGAAACCTTTCAATTGCTCTGACTGCGGGAAAAACTTCAGTAGAAGCTCAGACCTTGTTACCCATAGGAGGACCCACACAGGAGAGAAACCTTTCAATTGCTCTGACTGCGGGAAAAACTTCAGTAGAAGCTCAGACCTTGTTAGACATAGGATGAGCCACACAGGAGAGAAGCCCTTCAGCTGCTCTGACTGTGGGAGAAGCTTCCGTAGAAGCTCACACCTTGTTATCCATAGGATGACTCACACAGGAGAGAAACCTTTCAATTGCTCTGACTGCGGGAAAAACTTCAGTAGAAGCTCAGACCTTGTTAGACATAGGATGAGCCACACAGGAGAGAAGCCCTTCAGCTGCTCTGACTGTGGGAGAAGCTTCCGTAGAAGCTCACACCTTGTTATCCATAGGATGACTCACACAGGAGAGAAACCTTTCAATTGCTCTGACTGCGGGAAAAACTTCAGTAGAAGCTCAGACCTTGTTAGACATAGGATGAGCCACACAGGAGAGAAGCCCTTCAGCTGCTCTGACTGTGGGAGAAGCTTCCGTAGAAGCTCACACCTTGTTATCCATAGGATGACTCACACAGGAGAGAAACCTTTCAATTGCTCTGACTGCGGGAAAAACTTCAGTAGAAGCTCAGACCTTGTTAGACATAGGATGAGCCAGTGGTGCAGCGTATTATACAAGCTTATAGGACTTTGGTGAGGAGAGGTACCTCTACCCACTGGTCTCAAACCTAGCCCAGACGTGCTGTGGTCAGAGGACAGTTGGCTATCCCATGGCCCCAGCCCCGGCCCCAGCCCCAGAGCTACCATGGCAGGGAGAGGTGTGTCTTCCTCCTCTTCCTTCACAGTAGCACCTCAGCTGGGGGCACTCTGGGGATTCTTCTCTCCTCAATCTAGCCTTTCCCTGACCTACATGTCAGTCCCCTCCATCTTTGAGATAACACGCCCAGCTGGAGCCCTCAACCAATACTCCCTCTAAGATTTTTCCATCCACAAGTGGAGCAAGTTTTTTCTTGAGCACAAAGAGTGACATTCTGTGTGCTTGTTCGGATGTGTGCAACTGTGACGCACAGGAGTTACTGAGAATTTTTGCACGCGCACACACCTATTTTATTTACACACACACACACACTCTCACACGGCTCGACAAATACGCTTAGATTTCAGTCAGTTGCCCCGTTCACCGGCGGTCCGCGCATGCGCAATGGGGTGCGGGGATGGCAAGTGGTTTTCGCTGGGATCGTCTAGCCCTCTGTGTGTGTGTGTGTGTGTGTGTGCGTGTGTGTGTGCACGAGCACACGCATGCAATTTAAATTATGGAAGAAAAATACTGAAACAAATGATAATTAATATGGTTCATGACCTTGCACACACGCACCCTGAAAACTTCCCAGCTTGACACTGTCTCATTCCCAACCAGCCTTGCTCCACTGTTCCTGCATCCATTAGTTACCCATCTGCTACATCCCCACCCTGTGCACCCTTTACCACCAACCCTGCATTGTGTCCTCTTTGCCACTAACTTCTGCAGTGTTCCCTTCATCCCAACCCCTGCACTTTCCTTACAGTCTAATCCAAAGTGGAGTAATTTGTAAAAAAGTAATGCACTGTCCCTCACCATTGACTCTAAAGCTCATTCTGTAGTTGCAAGTTAATGGCATTCAGCATATGAATTTAGGGATATCACCAGAAAATTTCATCCAGCTCTTTTTCCACATTACTACGCTGTATATAGGACGTATAACCAACAATTAGATTATTTCTTATAATATCTTCATTCTTTAGACCCCTGTGAATCACAGAAAAGTCCCTTTCATTTGTCATCATCAATTTCATATTGATTTAGCATGAATAGAAAATAATCAGCATCTATTAAGAAAGTTGTAGTTGCTTCTACCCAGTGCATGTGTGAGAGAGTGAGATTGACAGAAATAACTTCCACAGGGAGAAAAATAGTCATCGGCACAATCAACACTAGTGACTTGATTGATGCCTTCACAAGTGACAAGACTATAGCCGGTCACAGAATTGTTCTCCTTGACATAGTTTAAGCTCGTAAATATGAACAGGGCACAGAACATTTCTCTAGTCATTTGCCATCTATTTTATCCTTCAGATAACCTGCAGATTTTCCTTTTGAGATCCTGAGGTAGAGCTCAGGACTTAAAACCCTCCTGAGAGCTGGAGCAATTCAGAGATCACAGAGGACTTTGGACGACTTGTGCGCACAGGACTGAACTCCTGTCCACCCTTCCCCCTTTTCTTCTTTCATTACACCCAGGCCTGGCCAGCCTCAGGTAGCGAGTGTGTGAGTATGAAAGCGGGTTAGGGCGTGGGCACTAACGCTTCCTTCCTTGTCTCTGCTGTTATTTTATTACTTTGTCAATAAAGCTTTAAAACTTAAACACTTGGTGTGTTCCGTAATCGCCTCCCTTAATGATCCTGTGACCTCAGCTTGATCACCTGACGCCTGCAGGCAGATTGGTAACTGAAATCTGACTCTCTCACACGTACTCTGCCCTGTGTTGGGAGCAAAGGTAAAGAGAAGTATTGGGGTGGGGGGAGGGGTCATGTTCCCTGCTCTTGCTCTGCCTCTTCCCCCAGACCTTGGCCAAAAAATTAGTAACAGAATATTTGTGCAAGTTTATGTACAGAAAAAAACTGACTTAAGCATGTTTCTGTGGTGTAGTTGTTTGCTTAACATGCAAAAGGCCTCTGTTCCAAAGCCAAGCAGAAAGGGGGCGGGGGGTGTCTGCTCTTATTGTGGTTCCCCTTGGCCCAACTTCCAGGCTGAGTAACCAAGGAACGGCAGGAGCCCTGTCCCAGGAGGGGAGGGGTCAGTGTATGTGAGGGTGTCGTCCAGACAGGCAGCCCCAGGCTGGGAGGGGATCCCAGCACAGACACAAGAGCAGCAGCCTTGGCCAATGGCCCCAGGTTTGCGGGAGCCGTCCCTGGCTCCCCGCTCAGACTGGCCGTGGGGCACGTTGGTGCTAGCAACATGCTCAAGTGGCGCCATGTTCCAGCCAGGACAACAGGAAGCGTTTCTTGTGGCATCACCTGATGCCTCCCCCAAGTGTGGCCCTTGTACCCTCCCCCCTGCTTTTTTCCCCTGGCCCCACTGGGGCTGACAGGAAAGAGACCCAGGCTGGAGACAGGGGAAAGCAGGAGACAGGAAGAGCCCCAGGCTGGAGCCCAGCTCCCCTTTCCTCCCCTCTGCACCTTGTGCAGGGGGGCTGGTGCTGACAGCCGAGGCAGGGCAAGAGGGGGGCAGGGCCAGACCTAAGCATGGGTGGAGCCACAGAGACCCCTAGCCGGGCTATTCCCCACCCTCTGGCTGCCAACCGCTGAGAAAAGGCCCCCCCACCAGCACCGGGGCAGCTGCTGATGCTCTGTGATGAGTGTGAGAAAGGGGCAGGAAAGCAGGGCCAGGCCCCTGTCAAGTTCCCTTACACCTCCCACTCCAGGGGGGCAGATGTTGCCCCAAGAGGCTTCTCCCCCACAAATTAGAAGCAGAGAAACACCCACAGCCCCAAACTCGCTCTAAAAAGCCCTCTGTGCTCTTCAGTGGAGACAGGCCCCAGGGAGGCAGAGTGGTGGGGTGAGGGGTGCCAGTACCCTGGGGGTGGGGCATTGGCTGCTTCGTTGCTGACCTCACACAAGGTCTGTCTGTCTTTGAGAGCAGGAAGGAAGAGGGAGGGGGCTACTGCAAAACTTGGCCCTCTGGCTGGCTCTGCCAGTGAAAACCAGGAAGGAGGCCCCTGTAGAATATGGGGATCAATTCCACTGCCTCTTGCATGCAAAGCAAATACTCTGCCCCTTGAGCTAAATCTCCTGCCATTAGATGCTCATTCTAGGCCACCCAGCTCATTCCAGAGCCCACAACATCCCTGAGCTGCTGCTGGCGCTTCTCTGAAAATCCCACTAGTGACTCTTTGCTGGGGGGTGGCAACCTCAGCTGATTTGAGTTTGGTGCTAATAACTTCAGGGTGCTGTGTTCAGTCACCTTGCTGGGCCTTGCAGGCTGCTCTGTTCTCCTTTAGCTGCCTGCTCTGGGCTGGGAGGCCAGAACAAGAACCAGGCTGAGCAGCTTGCAAGGAGCAGGCAGGAGTCCTGGTGGGAGGAGGGAGCAGCAGACACAGACCCCATGCAGCCCCAACCTTGTGGGAGGGGGCTCTGGCCACCCCCTTCCTTCCTCTCTCTCAGCTCCCTCTTCCTGGGGGCTGAAAGGGATTTGGATCCTGGGTCTGCCTGCTCAGCCACCTTCCCCAGTGGCAGGAGAAGATGCTTGAGACTAGTGAGTGAGTTTCTCTGTTCTCCCCTGCTGCTTAGCTGGCTGGCAGCAGATAAGGTCACAGGAGACTATCCAAATGCAGCCCTACCAGCACATCACCCAGAGCCACAGCCCTTGTGCCCGTATCTAGGGCCAGCTCTGGGTGGGCGTTAGCCAAAGTAGTAGCAACTCTCAGGAAGGGTTGTGAGGGACCAGGGCTAATCCCATGAACATGATTTCCCATTTCCAAGCTGTGGTCAGAAAGGTGCTATAATGATCAAACAAAGGACTATCTTAGAAAGAGAAGAAAAGGCCTGGACATGCACATGCCAGCTCCGGGGTTGAACCAGAAACCGTTAGAATTTCAGTCTAAATTTATCCCAGCTCAGCTACTTTCAGCAGCCCTGTCAAGCTGTTCATTCTCCGTCTGGGATGTTTGGCAGTCGGGCTGCACAGAATGGACGTCGTCATGCCCTGCCCAGGAAGGCCAGACTGGCCTTTCCACAGCGCCCCTCCCCCACAGCCAGAGCCAAGGTTCCCCCTAAGCCAGGCCTGGGCAATATAGGTCAGCGGGCTGGATCCAGCCCATCAAGACACTCCCTGCTTGCCCCACGCCCGCAAGCCGCTGAGAACAGGGACTGATGGGCAGTTAGTGTCCATCGTCACACCAAC